AAAAAGAGGATCTTTGCCCACACTCAATCACACATCTCAGGCCACCACCACTGCGTATCCAACTTTGAAAAAACTCATGTTTGAAGGAAAGAGTCTTTAGAAAATTTATACTATTGTTGCTTGACTTCCAACTGCGGTTGAAAAAAGTGTGCTTGGTTTCGAAGCGAAGAGTCCAAACTTTGATCAGAGGGCCGAAGAAGCGAATCATTTCACTAAAGTGCAAAAGATAGTGGTGTTTTGGACGGATAGGGACATGAGGGAAGAGCTCACGCCTTGCAATAATATAGTCAGAGATAGCGCAATCAAGCCATGATAAGTAGGAATCATGAATTTCAGGCGATACAGCAAACTCAGCAACATCTCTCAATAACAAAAGATTTTTCCAAACCGGATCATTTATATCTTTAACAAAACCATAAATAATGAGAGGAAACAACCGAAGTGTTATCCACAACTGCCATGCTCCACCAGCAAGCTTAGGTTTCTCAAGTTTTTTAATAACTACTGGTTTGTCCTTGGTATCTTCTTGAGAATAAGGAAAATTCTTGAGCATATCATTGAGCTGAGGAAGAGAAAACCAGCCTTTAGCTATGAAATATTGAATGTACAGTTTGAGGTCGTGTGCTATTACACCCTCGCAGAGATCATGACCAATGCATGGTGGTAAACCAGGAGAACAAGTGTGGTAACCAATAATCTTATTGAATTCAGAATCAAATTTGATGCCTTGATAGCTTTTAATATCACCATTGGGCATTACTCTTACTTTATCAAGAGCATTATTGTATGACTCAACTGTTCTTGCAGGAAATTTACGAACTTCACCCCCTTGTTTGTTGAAAAGAGGTCTAGTCAGCAAACAATAACGACAAAAGTATTTTGCCCTGCTGAAACTGGCAACCATTCCTGCCAGTTGATGACTTCCCAAATTATCACCACATATAAAAGCAAGACCAGCTTTTATATTAACAGAGGTTGATAAATTGACACCAGTAGTTTGCAACTCTATCAAGTCTTCAACAATTTTACCATAAACTAAATGATGGTCAAAATCCATCTCCCTGCACAAAGCTACCAGTTGGATGGAATCTTTGTGGAATCGAACATCTGCGGGCAAGTTACCAAAGGCAATATAAATACCAACAACTTTGTGTTTAAGGTTTTTAGCTGGCCCAATAGCACATACTAATTGAAATGCATCTTGATACAGGATGATTGGGAGAGCAGTAGGGTTTTCTTTAAAAAAATCATTGTTTCTAAATGCCAAACCATCATAGAAGTCTTTATACAATCCACTACCACTCCTTGATTGATAGTCTTTCAAATTGAAATTCCATGATTTGTTCTTGAAAGCAGCTTGTATTGTTTTTGCCAATGGAACATAATAGAAAAAAGATCCATTCTTCAGGGGAACTTTTTGTGGTTCGACAAAACAGAAGTTATTTTCATAGAACTTCTTTCTCATATAAGAGCTTCGTAAGCGATTGCAGGCATCAAATATTTTAGCACTATCAAAGCTAACTGAATCCAGTACGCGAGGAACCATTTCAGTTGGGAGTCCTTCACTTTTTAACACACTGGACAAACTATTTATAAAACCCCTCTGCATGTCTAGCAACAATAATTTTAATTCCTTGAAGATAAGTTGGGTAGCAACGCCAGAAACCATGTGCTTATACTCTAGCTTTTGAAAAAATTGGGCAAGTGTCACAACAGAATCACAGCCCACATCTGGAGTAATAGTTTCATTGCTGTCAAGATATTCCTCAAGTTCACCTGAACTGAATACTGTCTGAACATCTTGTGCGGCATCTGTGCTTTCAACAGCCCGAATACAAGAGGGTTGAGCAATACATTCAGTATATCTAGCCTTGTGCTTTTTAGAAATGTGTCCTGTCAATGAATGCCAAGACTGGGCAACAAACACGCAGCCAGAAGCAAGAGTAAATGGACAAGGGACAGCAGCACGAGACACAAGATGAGATTTTAGATGGCTCATAAAAGTCTTGTAAACAAAAAATTGTTGTTCACATAACTGAACTGGACACTGGTACTTAACATTCTCATTCAATGGAGTAACAACCACATTAGCCTGAACAGAGCGCACAGCTCGAGACACAAACAACTTGTGATTTCTAATGATGTGCATTCTTAACCCATTTTCCGATGGATATTGAGACTGACAGTGACCAAGACCGCAGTGGAAGTACCTTGAAAGATTACGGTGCAGCTTGGCATGATGTAAGTGACTGCGAAGACTTCTTGCCTGACTGTCACAAAATTTGCAGAAGAACACCGAGTTTACATCAGCCATGATGAAGAACAACACAAGTACCTGGAACAAAAAGAAAAAGAAAATCAATTAACCACCATAAAACCCTGCAAACAATTGACTCTAGAGAAATGCCTGCATTACCAGTATTTGAATGAAGAGTCCCAACGCAACCATCTTGGATTCAAGATAAAATTTGTCAAGAACAGCAGCACAACTATAAGATGAAGAGAACACAACCTGAAACAAACAAAAACAAGGTCAAATATTTATCAAGCTGGGGCAGAACACAGACAATTAGAGACTTAGATTGTTAACCTAAAGTAAAAGACTGCATTCAAAAGAAAAGAGGGTCTTTCAAGAGCAAGGAGCCGGTGTTTACAGTGCACTTAGCATACACCGAAGGCACTGCTTTACTTCTGAATAAACACATAGCCACATTGGCTTGCACAGAACGCCCAGCTTTCAGACACAAACAACTTTGTGATTTGTAATGACGTGTATTCTTAATCGACTATCCAGTAAAAATTCAGAGATACAGGGAGCAAGACCACAGTGGAAAGTACCTTGATAGGTGGCGGTGTAGCCTGGCATGATTTAAACGACTGCGAAGACTTCTTGTCTGGCTATCACAAGAAGAAGAATACCGAATCAGCCATGATGCAGAGCAACACAAGCACCTGAAACATTAATAAAAAGAAAATCAGTTAACCACCATAAAACCCTGCAAACAATTGACTCTAGAGAAATGCCTGCGTTACCAGTATTTGAATGAAGAGTCCCAACGCAACCATCTTGGATTCAAGATAAAATTTGTCAAGAACAGCAGCACAACTTTAAGATGAAAAGAACACAACCTGAAACAAACAAAAACAAGGTCAAATATTTATCAAGCTGGGGCAGAACACAGACAATTGGAGACTTAGATTGTTAACCTAAAGTAAAAGACTGCATTCAAAACAAAAGAGGGTCTTTCAAGAGCAAGGAGCCGGTGTTTACAGTTCACTTA